TAAATCAATCATATTTATAAAGGCGGCTGTACTAACATAGTTTACATTATATACAAGCTAATTCTGATATGGTATATTTCTAATTTTTACTTTTTATATTTTTTGGGTCTTTTTTTGAAGATAAATCTTGACTTAAATGGAAGTTGTTGGAGTGTTCAAAAGCTTCATCATGAAGTTAAAATTGATATCTGGAGAGGTCTTGGGTTGGGGCCAGTTTGCTCCTTCAGGAACCTTAATGCTTCTGAAACCCTGGCCTTTGTACAATCTTGTTGCCCCAGGATTGTTCAAATCACAGTGCAATGCAATTGTTCGGCAGCCCCAGCTCCGGGCTAAGACCTCTGCTTTCGCTATCAGTCTTTTAGCTATTCCCTTCCGCCGGAATCTCTCACGAACTGCAACATTTGAAATGTATGCAATTCCAGTCCTGCAATACATTCATGTGACAGTTGTAAGGGGGAAAAAAGACAATAACATGAACTGGAAAGAAGTTATGAGCTCATAATTTGCAGTTAAACACAAAGAATTGAATATATGCAACTTCATCGGCATGTTTCAGACTACCATAATTAGGCTAATCAGCTATGAAACCCAAAGATCTATGGGAGCTTAAGAGGTTGCTACATCATTGGAACAGCTTTTAGCAAGGAGGATGAAAAGATATGGCACAGCAACCTTGACCATATATGTATATAAGTTGCTTGCAATCACTTTTGATCATCTAGTAAGTTTATGGGAGGGAAGATATATATATGTATGCATGTATACAGAAAATGTGTATACAGGATGTCAATCAGTTTAACTAGTTAAGTCTCTTGTGGTATGTTCTTCTTTGGTGCCCGGTGATATATAATATTTAGACAATGTTATATGGTTTATTAGGGATTATTTGGGTTATTAGAAGGTCAGTGAGGGATGAATTATGGGCTTGAAAGGGAATATGTAAAAAGAAAAAATCTGTAAATTTTATTCCTTCAACTATTTTTTAGATAGTTTGGAAAGAAATGAATAGTAGAGTTTTAAAAGAGATTAAGGAAGAGATATCTAAAACTGGGGATAAATGGATACATTATTTTGGTTTTTATATCTTAGGTCATGAAATTTACAGGTTGGAGGATTTTGAAAATATTATTGATATACAAACAGACTTGTAAATATC